AGAGAGTGAGTGAGTGAGTGAGTGAATGAATGAGAGTGAGTGACTGAGAGAGTGAGTGAGTGAATGAGTCAGTGAATGTGAGTGAGTGAGAGAGTAAGTGAGTGAGAGGGTGAGTGAGTGAATGAATGAGAGTGAGAGAGTGAGTGAGTGAGAGAGTGAATGAGAGTGAGTGAGAGAGTGAGTGAGAGTGAATGAGTGAATGAGAAAGAGTGAGTGAGTGAGAGAGAGAGTGAGTGAGTCTATGTAGCAAAATTATATTGTTATATAAAGAAGTGTTCTACTAGGAAGTACTGCAACCAACCAAGCCCCCCTGGTGCAATTGCCACTGCCTCCTAGTGACTGCTACAGAGTTCATACAGGTACAAACACCAAACTGGAGCCAATGAGGTTATGCTTTGGGCTGCTAACAACAAGGTCAGCAGTTCAAACCCACCAGTTGCCTCTCGGGAGAAAGATGAGGCATTCTACTCTCTCCCATATAGAGTTACAGTCTCAGGTACTCACACGGGAAATTCTACCCTGTCCTTTAGGACTGCTATGAGTCAAGACAGACTGGATGTCCGTGAGTTGGATTTTGGAGACAATTGGAGGTCTCCTGCTGGCTGGCTAGAAACTGTCTCCTAACCAGGGATGAAAGGGACTAGTATTTGGGCACACAGTCCCCACCACCCAGCTCAAAGTCTGGCCAGCCACTAGGACCGGTTACATCTTCAGAAGCCTAGCACTCACCTCGGACCTGGAAGAAGAGGGAGGTGTTGGTTGATCCAAAAACATTTGTGGCCTTACAGTGGTAGCTACCAGAGTCTTTTAGGCTCAGTTCTCGAACCTCCAGCTGCAGGGAGTTGGCCATGGACTTGGCCTGAAGCCGGCCACGGGCTGGGATCTGGGAGCCCGGACTAGTGGCCAAGAGGTGCTCCTCATGGAATAGGGACAGCTGGGCAGGGGGGTGGCTGTCTACGGTGCAGGCGAACACCGCCACATGGCCCTGGTCCACATCCAGGAGGGCTGACAGCTTCGGAGGGTCTGGAGGATCTGCGGGGACAGGGGGACAAGGCCACCCTCAGCCCCGCTCACCATCACCCAGCTGCCTTACACTGACCCCTACCCATACACACACGTTCCCACACTCACTCACTGTCTCATAAGCTCCCCCACGAAACACACTCACACATATACTCTCACACTCACTCACTGTCACACACACTCCCCCATGAAACATACTCACACATACACTCGCTCACACTCATTCCCCCACCACACATACTCTTACACTGATACACACACTCTCACACTCACTGTCCCACACGCTCCCCCACGAAACACTCTCACACTCACTCACTGTCCCACACGCTGCCCCATGAAACACACACAATCTCATACTCACTGTCACACACTCCCCCACAAAACACTCACACTCATTCCCCTACCACACACTCACACACACACTCTCACACTCACACACACTCACATGCTCCCCCATGAAACACACTCACACATACACTCTCTCACCCTCATACACACACACTCACATGCTCACTGTCATACACACTCCCACACAAAACACACTCACACATGCACTCACACACTCATTTCCCCCACCACACACACACACACACACACTCACTGTCACACACACTCCCTGACAAAACACACTCATACACTCACTCACACACTCATTCCCCCACTACACGCTCACATTCATTTCCCTACCACACACACTCACACACACACACTCTCACACACTCTCACACATACACACTCATACACTCACACACCCCGCCACCACACACACACTCACATACACACACACCCACACACTCTCCACCACCACACATATACGCATGCTCAGCGACTCAACCCCAGCCCTGTTGCTCTCCCCAGACTACTCCCCCAACCCTGAGTGCCCCACTCTCTGCCCCTGCCGGTCACCCACAGAGCACATTCAGGGCCACAGGAGCGGAGAGCTGGGCCTCAGTGGAAGTGAGGATTCGGCAGGCATAGAGGGCCGCATCACTCCGGGCCACAGGCATCAGGGTCACAGTCTCCAGGGGGCCCTGGGCCCACAGTGCCCCATCCCGGAACCAGGAGAAATTGGCTGGGGGGCTGGGGGCCTCTCGGCTCACAGTGCACGTCAGATTGGCCACGATGCCCTCTCGCAGCACGTTTGATGGTGAAATGACCAGGACGGTGGCTGGAAAAGTTCATAGGCTCCTTAGAGGCAAGGCCAGCGCCCCTCCCCCACTCGGCCAGCCCCCCACTGGGGGAGGGGAGGAGAGGAGACCCCAGGCCAGGGAGCAAAGCAAGCAAGTTCAGAGCAGAGCCGAGGGCTCCTCCACAGGTATCCCGCAGGTGGCTAGAGCCCTGTGGGTGACCAGGGAGCCTGGAGGAAGTGGGCCCTGGAGACCATGGTGGGGAGCAGAGATGGGACAGTCAGGAACAGGGAAGGATGACAAGGCAGCCCCATGGATTGCAGAGGGCCCCAATGTGGAGAGCGGGCAGCAGGATAGTGGGTGAGGTGGGGGGGGTATGGGGTGGGGGGG